CCCATACCATAATGATAAATAGAGATGTAAATAGAGGTGGCAGTAAAATGTCGCGGAACATGTGACCACATCTTTTCCGACCGACCCTACCTACTATATAATCATTATATAATCGTTTGTGTGTCTGCCAATTTTTTTTACTCTACTAAACACTAAAGTAAAAAAATTATCAGCTACAAAACTATTATATAATAGGGTAGGGTCGGAAAAGATCAGTTGTCACAAATATAGTAAGGGTACCTTTGTTCGTCTTCCGAAGGAAAACTGATCTCTTCTGGGAGGTCTTTGCATTCAAGATAAAGTCTCTCATCAGTAATATTAATTCCCGCAACATTTACTACAAGAATCAAAGGTAACCGTCGGTCGATTTTCCTTGTTGAAGTAGCTTTACCCGTACATAGGTACAAATGCCTAAAATATATATATATATAAATATATACTGTAAAGCGCACCCGGGTATTTTACATTCTACACATATATATTTCAGGGGATACAATACAAATATCATTCTCAAAAAACGTCAGGGGTACTTTAAAGAGCGCTTTACGGTATATGTATACAGTATATTAAAAAGTAAGTAGAAGATAAATAAATTACTCACTTAATTTTTCCGCTTTCTACTAATGCATATTTATCGACCTTGAAGGCATTCACAGGAACATTTTTTGGTTTTTTTCTATTTATAGTCACGAACTCTGATTCGCAGGAGACAATACAAGGCTCTTGCCAATGTTTTAGACAAGTTTCGAAGTAGTTACCTTCTCCTGATGACACTGGTAGTTGCGGTTTTCTAAAAAAAAAAAGGAAAAAAATTTTATATTTATAAATAATGAAAAACCATCACTTACTTATATAAGCACGATGTTTGCCAGTGGCATTATCTTTTTAGGGCAGTAATCTGAATCACACGTAGTCGTTATTGTGTTTTTTACAATAAGAAGATTCCAGTTCAAGGAATCTTGAAAGAACTGTTCAAAAAATAACTCTGAAAGACTTCCAAATAAGCTCATACATCCTGTTTTTAACTTATTATGTGACGATAAATTTTCAACCCAAAGAAACTTTGCCTCTACCCATTGCTTCTGCTTTATTTGGTCAAAAACTTTGAGAAGAAGATGCGTATGTGAAGTGGGGTCAGCTACGGCGAAAGTAGCAGCTTGACTATAGATATTTTCCCAAGTAAAAGCACTCTGGATGAGTGTGAGGCTTGTATCCACTGGACAGGTAGAAGTTAAGTATAGCTCGCCTTTCTTTCCTCCATATGGAATTGTATAAACAACGACGTTTCCATGAGAATCTTTAGATAACTATAAAAACATAATTTGGGGGTGTCAATAGAAACCAAGCAAATTTATTAGATAAATTTGCTTGGTTTCTATTGATGCCCCATTTGCTAATTAAATATATATATATGCAGTATAAATTAGATATATAGTAATACTACCTTTGTTTTTTTCTTTACTTGCTCATTGGCATACCCAATTATGTCAGCTAATTGAACCGTATGTTTATTTGTACTACTGCTTTCGAAAGTGATGTCTATAATAACCTTGCCCTCACCAATAATTTCAACAATCTGTGCCTTATAGTAAGGCTCATCCAAAATTGTATCTCGAAAATGAACTTGCTCTCCTGGTACTAATCTATTTTTTCTTTTATTTTTTGGACCTCTTTTTTGAGATAAACTAAGCTCATTTTTATTATGACCATTATCATCCTTTTGACGAAGATAAGACTCGAGAGAGCTGTTTGCAACTGATTCTACAACAGGTCTGTATTGGAAAAAAGAAAATAAATTAATCAGTTTAATTTGCATAATATTCAATTCTACATATTCTCGTATTACTAGTAATTGATAAATATGCGGCATAACTGAAAATAATAAGTTTGTTTTTTTTTATCTTTCTAGCTTTGACTTAGAAGAGCTATAAAAGAAAATTAGAAAATATTAACAAAAAAAAAAGGGTGCTGCTCACTTCACTGACAATCATTTTACCGAAATTTCATTTAGCCAATATCATGATTAGCACTTGATTAATTGCAGATATATTTTAGTAAATTGCCACTTAGCGTAATTTCGGCCAAGTAAGCTATCAGTAAAATGACTGTCGGTGAAGTAAGGTTGATCCAAAAAAATAAATAAAAAATAAACCTACTTTTTTGGTTTTATCTTGCCAATAAAAAAATGGACAGCTACAATATCCTGGCAATCGTGTCTGCAGATTACATTGAAACCACATGGGCAAGCAAATGTTCTACTTCTATGTGTAATTTGTAATGTTTTTTCTTGTTGCTGTTTTATATGATGTTCATCAGATAAGTCAAGTGTCTTAGAGTTTTCTTCATCAGAATCATCATTATCTGATTCAGCAGTAATATATTAAATATCACTATCCATATAGAAGCGGAACACAATCCAAGTATCCTGGTCAACCTCTGAAATTCAAATGGTTAATAATTGCGAACTTAAAAACACACTCATATAATAAACTCTTTCCATGTTGGATTAACAATTCTTAATATGATAGTAAGAATTTTCAATGTAAGATGTTTAAATACCAAACCTATAGTAAACTTAAAATTTAGAGTGGGTTTAATATTTAAATGTTGAATAAAATGCTATTCGTATTTACCTTGAACAAGATTTCTCTTATATAATAATTCCCCTTTTATATGTACTTTGCTTTTTTCCCGTTGTAACTTCGATTTTGTGGGATTTTTGCCCTCTCTGTTCCAAAATCTTAAAAAAACTTTATTTTTAGAATATAAAATTAACAAACAAATAAATCAGCATGCATTTATTTACCTCTCAATCTCTCCTGCATCTACACACATTGATGTACTTATTTTTTCAAGATTTGAATGTAGAGACTTTGTAAATCTTCTCCGATAATATAATACCATATTCTTTTTAAAGTAACTTTCCAATAACATATTCGTTTTCATAGGACAACCATTATGCTTATAATCTGGTCAAGTATCTGTAATGATGTTAATATAAATTTTATTTTATTTTTATTTTTATTTTTTTTTATACTTGCCAACCCAATCGCCGAACCAGTGTGTTCGAAAATAAGATGTAATGGTTTCCGCAATAACTAAGTTTGTAATTCCAATAGCAGATTGAAACTCTTTAGCATCCAAGATAGTAATCTTCCATTGATCAAATTCTTCCTGGTCTCTATAATGCTTAACAAACCGAAATTGATAGAATGTTCGATCTCTAATCCATTGGTCATTTAGGTTTTTTGTAAACCATTCCTTGAGTGCATTAGCTAGAAAAATAGCAATATTCTTTAAATGAGAAAATCAAACTACAATACTATATAACACTAATGTAGTATACGATTTTTACACAGTGAAAAATTAAAATCACGTGAATTTGATATCACATGATAGCATAAATAGTAGTTTAAAAATTGATCTATATCGATATGAGTGCCAACTAGAGATGTGCAAGGTAATAAGTAAGTAATAAATCCTTATTTTTTTTTTACCCTTATGTATTTTTACATATCAGTACTTATTATATCTTATTATGACTTATTATTACTTACTATAATTCACAAATACAACTTGAATGATATAATTAAAATCTGATCAGGCAAATACCGCATTTTTTTTTACTTATTATTACCATTATGTAATAAAATTTGGTAGTAATAATACATATTAACAATCACCCATCTCTAGTGCCAACAAGGGAAAATTTTGATTTGGAAATATAGTTTATTTCGTGACACTCATATTATTTGTTATGCAGGGTATAGTAGGCAGCGCTATATGGTAACAAGTATAATTCAAGAAAACTCACCCTCATGCCAGTCTCACAAAACTATCTGCATATTAGGAAAATGTTTTCTGGCTGCTGTCAAATAAGGATCTCATTTGTCCATTGCTAACCATTTAGAGTTTAGTTGAATATCATTCTTAATACTATATTGAATTAGCTAACCAGTTGATGTTAGAAATTATCATCAAACAAAATAACAAATTTAGCCAAATTTAACTAGACTTACCGATTCAAACATCAGGTCGACTACTGGTATCGTTTCTTTGTCACTTACAAATATTGCTATAATTCGACCACGAGGTTCATCTGATCTAACCATAAAAGCTGTGTTTGGAAAGTTTAAGTCGTTACGACAACTAGTAGAGTCCAAAGCTAGAAAATCTGGATACTTTGTTAGCAGTATTGGCATAATAGTAGAAGCTATACCAAGAAGCACTGCTTGTTCTTTGGGGTCTTGAGTATCTTTAACACCATATTGCTTCGATATAACAGTGCCTTCGGACTTATAGGTATCTATTATAGAACAGACCTGTTGGCAAGTAGAATTAAATAGAAGAAAACAACTTCTCCACAGATCGAATAATGGCAAAGCTAAGTACAAATTGGATATCTAATTTTAAGCTAATTACTACCCAAATATTATTTGATTAATGTCGATTTATGTTGCAACATAAATCGAAATCAATCAGATAATATTCGAGTAGTAATCAGCTTAAAATCAGATATCCAATTTGTACCCGGCTTTGCCATCATTCGATCTGTGCTCACAAAAGCAGTTTTTTACTTTTTCATATTCTAATACGCTCGGATAATGCAGTTTCTTATCATATTTGAGGGCATTCTGAATTGTCTCAAGATTAGGAACAAATCGAGTAGATGTTGGTTGTACTTGGTTTTTTGGTGTGGTGTCGGTTATACTTAAAATCTTTGTGCTATTCATTAGTTCTAAAAAAAAAAAAAAAAAAAAAGACTAATTAACAAATTAAATTCAGCCTTTTTTCCTTTTTTTTTTTTTTTAAATAGAGGTTTTCTCTATAACCTGTTGCCAATATCGAAGGGGTTACATTTGCGGTTCGATTTGTTATTGTTTTTCTAACTGAATTTGCCATTCGAAGTGATTTTGTCTGAAGATGATCTGGATTATGATTTCTGTAGTATTCAATATTGTATAGATTAAGTGGTTTGTAATGAGAAACTGTAATACAACCTATCCAGTTGCATTTGTCTTTGCAACACCCATTCTTCAAAAAACGTAATTAATATTTCACAATTTCCATAAAAGTAAATATATCGAAATAAATATATTTTTATTTATATACCTGCAAAGAATATCCAAGATACTCCATATATGCAAATTTTGAATTAGATAATTGTTTTACACTTTCATTTACTAGTGTAATAGTTTTTACATCTCCTTCACGTAACTTAACATTTGAAAACAATAAGAGTTCACTTCATATATAATTTGCATGTACAAAATATAATGATAATCAAACATATCTTACCCAACCCTTATTTGTATGATCTTGAGACAAAATTTCATACCCTCTACCAAGAGTACCACCTCCAGACAATACCATATCAAATGTATATAAGTCTAATACTAAGGGTATATTAGTAAGTGGTACTTGCATCCATTGAATATTTGGAAGTAACAGGTGCTAAGTTATTTTAGGCTTGATATAACTAGTAGACGAAGAAGATATGTCATCTATTGGTAATTGTTAATAATAAAGTATGTAGTTTAACATTCGCATATTAAATCATCATTATTTATGTACAGTTACTTTTATATATTTGTCGTGTTTGTTTCGTGCCTATTTCCTCATAGTAGATGATGAAACAGATTCTGATTTCTCAAAAAAGGTAGCATATATTACATAAACGTAGAATTTCACATAACCAAACTGTTTAATGTAAGCTTTTTTGTAATACAATATAGTAATAAGGTTGAAAAACAAAAAAAACAAAAAAACAAAAAAAAGTAAGTATGAAAGTAGGTTTTGGTTGCATATTGTAACGATTTACTAAAATTACTACTCTAGCATAGTGCTTGGCAAAATTAAACTTTTGCTTGACACTTAAATACATGTGACGATCTGGCTTATAAATCAATACAGCAATATAGTATGCAATAATATAGTAATACTGTATTGCTGTATTGATTTGAAAGTCAGCCCATCACATGTATTTGAGTGTTAAAAAAAAATTTGATTTTGCCGAGCATTACTCTAGCATTACGAAGGAAAAAAAACGCAAAAAAATCAAAACCAAAAAAATCACAATATTTTGCCTAAGAAACCCTTTTGTGTACTGAGTTTTCCTTATGAAATTCCATATTGATAAAGTATTTTTCTAGCCTAACTTAATAACAAACTCTAACTCTAATTTAACTGTGAAATTTTTTTAGCAAAATTTTTAAAGTTGTAGCACTAGGGCCTTATTAATAACCGTTAAGTACGTGTATATGTATGTGGTCGTTTACTAAAATTCTATTGTGCTACTATATCAGTAGAAGTTCTTGTTAGAATAAGTTGTTTTAAATTGTATTACCAAGTACTGTAAACCTTATAGAAAGGTTTGGAGTATAGCACGAATTGTGTGGGGAATGCACGAAATGTCATGGATCATGTGGCGTGTACAGGCGCGTTTTATAGGGTGATACGATTAAAATTTATGGCAAGAATATGCATATGCATGTTGTACTTGATGGCATGTCTTTACTAACAGGGGAAATGTACCTAAAAATAGTATCATGTTATACAATTCATGACAATCGTAATTTATACACTTTAAAGTACTTTTTCACGAGACTTGTGTAGCCCATCCTCCCTATCAAAGGTGGACTATAATTCTAAGAAAACTTGAAGTTCTCGCTTCAGCGCATAAGAATATCTGGTGAATCCCTCTGAATCCCACAACTTATATTAGTGTTAAATATGTCTGAAAATAAGCATTGCACAAGCTGCCAAGCCACCCAATCTATTAAATTCCGTTCGTTGGGTGCAGACAAATAGAAAGAAATCATGGCTAGAGGTCTAGAGAAGCCAACGTGGAAGGAAGGCACCATTTTATGTAATAAATGTTACATGGATCTAGTTAAAAATCTCTTGAGAAGAAGTAGTAAGCGAGCGAAAGGTATAGATGATCAAGATGAAAAGGCAGGTACATCTAATGAAAAGATTGAGCTCTCTGAAGCCATTAGGCTAATGGCAAAGGTTTTTTATGAAAGAGAGCATGTAAAAAAAGAAAATACAATTTATACGTTTGAAGAATTGCAAGAATTACTAGTAAAAGATGAACCTAATCTTAAGCATTTTCTTGAGCAACTTTATTTAGCAGCTAGGCCGTCCACATGTACCGAACAAATGATAGACCGTATGAAAAGAATAATGGTGTTCATTTGCTATTTACTTGCTTCTTTGAACAATACTAAAATTAATTCTTTTAAGTTTGATCTTGCATATTATTTAGATTCGGCGAGAGTAACTAAAGAAGGCTTGAGTACGATGGTGAATTTTGGCGTTACTACAATGCCACAGGCAGTAGGTCAGCGTAAGAGAAAGATATCAGAAGTATATGAAAAATATGTGGAAAATGCACTTTTTAAGCATTAGGGGAATGCACTTGTGCTAAATGTTGATGATTATCATAATATCCACATTCCACAGCAGCCTAACACTATAGTTACTTCTAGGCCAACACATATGGCAACAATTTTAATCAACCCATGCTTAAATCCTGCAATATCATGTAATGAAATAGTTAATCCAAGGTTCATAGATAGCCATTTGATTATAAAACATTTTGATGAACGATTTATCGTAAATATTGGTGTTTCATATCACGATCGAATGCAAAGCAGAGAACAAGCATATACTGATGAAGAAGTATTAGATAGACTAACAGTACATAGCTACAATGATAGGCTTGCAGAGAAAAAGAATGATCGACATATATGCAATTCAATTCTTGTTGACTTCGTTAAAAAAGAATTGAAAAATATAGAGGAATATGTTGATGCCCTTCGAATTGTATACGACAATGAGCCAATGCGAATTTATCTTTCTAATTATGCTGTTCCTACTGTCGCGGATTGGCCTGGGCAATTTTTTATCCGTAAGGCCATTGCACAACGGCTTTTTCTTAACAATGAGAGTATTCCACAGTTTGTTATGTCATTTTTGCCCATTTTAGGGCCTCTTCATGTGTCTTTAAATTCTTACGAACTCGTTTACAAAAAAAAATTATTTATTATTTAGTGACATTTACAAGAGGGTATTCGGAGCGAAGAAGAAACTCAGCCAGAAGCCACGACCATGGAGAATTAATTTAATTCTCCACATTGTATACTTGGCATTGTCCAATATTGCGGATACGATTTATGCAAAATGTGTAAAAATATTGAGTTTTTATATCTTACTGATTTATTTAGCAATTTAGTTCTCTTAGTTCTTGACGTCTATACTGTACACTATCGGAGTGGGGATTGGCCATCGTATGAGGAAGCATGCATGCGTTGTTGGAGTAACCTTTTCTTATAATTCAATAGAAGAAATTATAAGTGTGCTCCCTTAATATATTTTTTATTGGATGGAAACAGGCCATCCAATAATGAATTTAATTACTAACCATCTTGCTTCTTTTAGTGATAGTCCCGTTGAAGTCGCCCACAGCATTATTTGAAGACATACTGTTAAATTTCTTACGGCTGAGCAATTACAAAAGGAGGCACATTTCATTTTCCAGCAACGATACGACAATACCTTTCAACAAAATTTTGTACATTCCATGAAGTATCCATATATGCTGAAACAATTAGATATGCTTTCTTAAAAATGTTCCATATTTCTTTTGGAAATATTTGCGAAAGTGTATCAGAATCATAACAAATCTCCTATCGTTAAATCCACAAGTGATGATAGTATTAATACATATGAAGTACCTTCATTAGGCTTTGAAATAACAGATCGTTACTTTCCGAGAGGTTTTGTTACTTCTAAAAAATCTAATGTGTCTTTGTTATATGACTCATTGAATTGTGATCGGACCTACGATTTGCTTAATGGCTACGTTTTGGCGTGTGGGCATGGTTATTATAATCATTGTTTACAAAAATCTCATTTTAAATATTCAGGTTATCTTCAAGGTGAAATCCAGAAAAATGTCAATGCGCTAATAGTAAGTATGACTAGTAATATAGTTGATGTTGGAATACTTGATGATAGGGATAAGGATAAAGATAAAGATGATTTGGGTAATGCAGATGAAATAATAGGCAATGCGATTGATGTAGAAGAGTTATTAAAATATGTAAAATCAACATTTTTGAATTTGTAATAAAATAAATTTTTTAATAAAATAAAGTTTTTAAATATATTTTATTAGTCGATATTATCTAATTATTATCGTATTTTTATTATCGTATTTACAGTACTATGTATAAATTATTTGATTGACATAAATATGCAGGCTGTCGATCACATGTCGGTTTGTGTAACCTTTGACGTTTCCCCCTGTTTCTGTGAACATCACACTTAGACGATCGTCTAGAAAAAATAAATTTTAATTAATGGAATTTAAGATTTATTTTAGAAATTTAGAATGAGTTTAAAAAGTTTTTAGGATATTCCGAAAACCAACTTTACCCCAATGGGATATCGTCCGGAACTGTTTGTGTCCCTGCAATTTTGACGAGACAATGTCCGTGACACTATGGTATGTAGCTTTTTAATCAAGTAATATTTTTTAATAAAAAAACGTTCACTCATTTTTTAGACCAGTTTCGAGACTGGGGACCGAACAACCGTGGGATTGACCGATCCTTATTCATCTTTCCAGGGCTTACCAATATAACGGATATTTTGTATTCCCGGTATCTTCAGATTCTGATAATCTAAATAAATGCAGATGTGATGTCATTCCTAATAGTGTAACAATGTTTTTCAATAAAAAGATTATAATCTCTTCCCTATGAATCTCTGAAATGTCATACAAGCTAAATTTTGTGCGTTCTATTGTTAGAAATAATCAACAAAGACAACAGGTAACAATAATTTGATAAAAACATTGAACTTGTACGTTAATAGGCGTTTGTAAAAACACCTGATCCTATTAGGCCTTGAATATGATTCGAAGGAATTACGCTCCTTCACCGATCCCACAGAAACCAACAGTTCCGTATCCTGTAGATACCACTGTTGGTCCAATGCTTCGCTATCAAAAATCACTTCCGAAACTTCCTGTTCCCCAACTCTCCGAAACTTTGGAAAAATATCTCAAGAGTGTTCGAGCCATTACTAACGATGATGAATATACAAAAACTCGAGCTATTGTTGCAGAATTTCAGAAACCTGGTGGTGTTGGTGAAGAATTACACAAACGACTCTTGGAAAAAGCAAATAATCCCAATGTGATTAATTGGCTTGAGGATTGGTGGAACGAGGCTGCATATTTCGGTTATAGAGATCCGGTCGTTGTCTATGTGAGCTATTTTTATGCCTATAAAGACGACAAACTTCGTAGACACCCTACCGCTCGAGCCGCTGCCATTGTAACTGCTGCTTTGGAGTTTCGAAGACTTATCGTCGAGTGCGCATATTTTTTTGCTTGCATAAAACCATCCTTAAAAATTTTTAAACTAATAAAGTCTTATTTAATCCAAAGGCAACAATTGGAACCAGAATATGCAAAAAATCTTCCTCTTTGCATGGATTCATATAAATGGATGTTCAATGCCTGTCGCTATCCGAAGAAACCATCTGATTTTGAATTAACCTTTGATCCCGCAACCAATAATCATATGACTGTCATCCGAAAAAATAAGGTCTTCATTGTAGATTTGGTTAAAGATGGTATACAACTGTCAACCGCTGAAATAGAAAGGTGAGGAGATCGGATATTTATTTATTTTCTTAAAATATCAATAGTAAATGATTGACTATTAATCTGTTAGATCACTTATTTTAGCCAATTAAGGAAGATTCATGAATTGGCTGGTAACACGAAGGATCCTGCAATCGGAGCTCTTACCACTGAAAACCGTGATAATTGGGCAGATGTTTGTACTCTATTTTATACAATACGGTATAAACTCGATATAACGAAGTATAAAGCTTATATATTTAGGTATATTAAAGATTTCATTAATCGAGATAAAATTTGTATACAGTATATGCATTTAGAAAACTTCGTTATATCGAGTTATCCTACATATTCTTTACAAACATTCGTAATGTCTAAATTTTTGATTCCTCCTTTTTTTTTTTTTAGTATCGAGAATTACTTTTAGCTGCAGGTTCAAATGAACAATTATTGAAAAAGATAGAAAGTTCGGTCTTCGCTCTTTGTTTAGATGATACATCCCCGGTTACACGTGACGAGATTAGTCATGCTTGCTGGGTCGGGGATGGTCGTAACCGCTATTTTGACAAGTCTTTACAATTTATAGTTTTTGAGAATGGAAAAGCTGGATTTTGCGGTGAGGTATTTATCCAATCTAGTATTCAACCCGCTATATCTATCAGCTTGAATTTATAAAGATATTTCTCTTTAATTTTAGCATTCTTCTATGGATGGGACTCCAACATGCCGACTAAACGATTTTGTTTGTGATGTAATTGCCAAGAACAAAATTAATCACGGTTCTACTAATGTTCGATCAAACCTACCGGAACCTGAGCAACTTCATTTTACTTTGAACAATGATATTTTTGATGCTATCGCAAAGGCTGAAAGTAACTTTGATTCCCTTGTTTCAAAGCATGATTTACGTGTATTGGCTTACCAGGGATATGGTAAAAATGGTATTAAAAAATTGGGATTCTCACCGGACGCATATGTACAAATGATAATTCAATTGGCATACTACAAAATGCACGGAGTTTGTAGGTCAACATATGAAAGCGCTCAGACCAGAAAGTTTGCTCATGGTAGAACTGAAGTTTGTAGAACTACATCCGTTGATTCTGTTAATTGGGTAAAAGCTATGGAGGATCCAAAAATTCCAGTAAGTGCCATTTTAAAGCATTATTATAACTTTATATAAGAACAATTTAGAGAAAATATTTTCGCATAAAGCTAGAAGTCAAGGCAGATTTGGGTCGTAAGGCGGTACAATCACACGTAAAATACATGTCCGAAGCTGTTGAAGGACGTGGTTGTGACCGCCATTTATTTGGTGAGTACAAAAATACTTGCAGAAACTACTTATAGGCATACCTTGTATAGGCTTATTAAATTATTTATTTATGATAAACTATAATAAGGTCTTCGTATGTCTCTAAGACCAGGAGAGGAAAAACCAGCAATGTTTACTGATCCTACATATACTAAGTCAACGCATTGGAGCCTATCAACTTCACAACTTTCATCAGGATATTTCGATGGATATGGATGGGGAGAAGTAGTTCCTGATGGATATGGCATTGCATATCAAGTTAATCCCAATGTATTAAGCTTTAATGTTGTTTCAATGCATTTGAACAATCAACAAATGTGTCATTATCTTAGAGAGGCAGCAGATGAGATGAAAGAAGTGTTCGAACATGCACAGGCAAAGGAAGGCCGTGTTTCAGCAAAATTATAATATTTGGGTTTATAATTAAATGATTTATATAATTAAATGAGCAATCTGTCCGTCAGTCTCGATCAATCAGAGAACAAGCGTGGGATGTAGTAACGCTTATAGATACGAATGTTAAACCATTTAAAATTTACTATATAAACCTAACTAATTTTGATAGTTTAATATAGTTGATTTATGTTCAATTTTCAAACGATTTAACATTCCTACTTGAGAATTATTTATTATCTACAGTTAACTGTTTATAATTAATGTGTTATAAATATGAATTTTAAACAAGATTTAAAGAAATAAATTAGTAATTATCCGTTATACTATACTTTAATATATAACTGGTTATGCCTATACAGGGAAAATTGCCTTAATACGTATGAACAACCGAATGAATAAACCTATATGTACGTATATGTACGTATGTAATTAATTACATCTCTAAAAAATAAAATAATTGCATAAATCTGTGAAAACTTCTATACTATAAACATAGTTGCTAATTAAACATTAGTCATCAGAGTTACTCATTCTTCTAAACTCATCTCTACTATCTAACCTAACATTAACATAACATGAACGAACGGACAATATTAAAAATATAATTATGACAATAGTAACATAGACATAGTAAATATAGAATATTGACATTTGAGCTCCATAAAGTGATAAACCCAGTGGAACTTGAAATATTGCCAAGGCCACAATTGCGCGACCTAGCCATCTATGAATCATAACAAAAAGGGAACAATGATAAAGAATAAATAACTGAAGTGAGAGAAAATTGATATTACAATTACTTACCTATGAAGATGAGTCCACCAAGGAGTGTATTTTCGATAAGGGTCATACAATTTGTGATGAATTATACCAATAGTTATTTGAGCGAATAAGCAAATAAAAAGAACCAAACCAAGGATCTGTGATATTACAAATTATAATTAACAATGACAATAGTATTATCGTTATATATGGGGGAGGTGTCAATAGAAACCAAGCAAATTATTTCTAAGTAAATTTTTTTTCAACTTCAAGTTAAAATATCTCAGCAACTATTAAACCAAGCTTAATAAAAATTTTTTATTTTAATTCTATATAGTTATAGAATTAATATAAAAAAAAAATTTATCAAGTTTGGTTTAATAGTTGTTGAGATATTTTAATTTAAAATTTTAAAAAAACTTACTAAAAACAATTTGCTTGGTTTCTATTGACACCCCTCTATATTATGTTTATTGACCAAATTTTAGACCATTTATGACAAAGTACCTTGTGGGGATCACTAGTTTGGTAACCTCCTACAGCAACATAAACAATTGCACTGCCAGCAATAACAAGAGGGACTACAAGGAAAGTTTGAATACCCCAATGCAGGCGGACCCAAGATGGCAGGTTTCTTAAAAAACAAAGTATGATAACTCTTAAATAAGTAATTAAAGAAATAAACATGATGAATAGCCAATTACTCACCTTGCAAACCTGGCTACAAACACAGCAGCTGGTAAAAATACCATCCAGGCCAAAAACATTATAATAGCTACGCATAATTAACAAGAAACCACGGTTAAAATCCTATGCAACTTATATTCATTTCTTTCAAAAATTCTTATAATAAGAGCCCTACCATGAGAAATTATCAATTTAATATAGGTATCAGATGAACTCGATGAAGTATCCACACCCGCATTTACCAGATTTAAAACCACATTATCCCTGTACGTATGTTTTGTAATGGTCGAATTTGGATATATACCACTTGGTCGAGCAGTGCAGTAGGCCCATGCAAAATTTTGAGTTTCATTTATAACGCTATCCCTAACTGTTTGGAGGCGTCTAAAATATATCACTAATCTATTATTGATAAGTCCACTTGTTTTGTTTGGTACCAATTGTAGATCGCTTTGGTAATCTGTAGCTTTGGGTTCATTGGGCATACCACCTGAACGTTGTGAAAGAGTGATTGTACCATCGTTATTGAGCCAAGCTACCTATGAATGAATTGACTGATAAGAGGATCATTCATTAAATATATGATATGTTATTAAATAATACTTACCATCAAATATCCAGACATCCCTTCACCGATGCCAATTCCGAGCCATCTGAATTATAAAACAAAGTTCAATCCAATGGTTAATATGTTAATATTTTAATAGAATTCATTTCACTAATAAAAAAAACAAAATGTACCCGGCAGTTGGTTGAGACTCTAGACGAAACTCAACCCATTTCTGATCATCGGGTAAGTTTTTATCAGGGAGAGTAATATTGAAACAATAATCGGCGTCGCTGTTACAATATTCGTTACTGCCGATTGTCACTATTAAAAAAGGTAATTACAAAAAAATTTCTTTGCATTTTTATTACTTTTTAATGTGAATTGAATCCTTACATTGAAAGAGCGTAACCAATATTAAAGCAAACCACAAAATTTTATTTGTGATAACGATCATTTTTCCTCAAAAATTAAATTATTAAAATCATCCAACTAATTATATACGAAAAAGAAAACGTTGTATTAATTAAACTCGCATGTAATTATGCATTAATTTATAAATGGATGAAGCATGTATATTACTTTACCTAATTTGGATAATAGGTAATGCATTAGACGTACAAATTCTACTTTTTTTATTTAAAGTGTACTTATTTACATAATCGTTTTACCGATGAATGTTTATCAAAAAAAAGCTAATTTTATCACCGATTATGCCTATGATTCGGAATTCTAGTGAAAATAAGATTTCGGGGAGTTTCCGTTTACAGTAATTAAGACCAATCCCGGCGTAATCTTAAGCGGCCGTTCATTTGACAATTTTCATCTAAATTCAACTCAAAAATGATGTTACTTACGTCGCTGCTCAATTTTGCGCACTGCTTACATCATTGATTATTTATTTACGAAAAATCTTTGGTGATATGTATTATATACCTGATAAGTTGCCACCATTTTTAAAGTAAATAAATAAATAACGATAAAGTTGAAAGTTCGAAGTCACAAAGTTAAATCTAATTTTATATAAAGTTATTTTTAGCAATTACCATATTTGCGTGTAATTTCGGGAGCCCATGTATGATATTTCGAATCATTTTATACCGAACATAATACTGTAATATTCGTATAACGAATTGATCAGTAATGTTTACGCACATGGTTAAGCACGGCGTTTATATTTGAATAATCGCAGATCATTAAATTATTTTGATGAACTCTCTCACCTGTGCATAAGAAATTATGCATGGTTTTTTATTTTCATAAAGATGGTTGCCACTGCGTTAAGCAACTGGGTACCATCTCCTCGTCTTCACTATGTGAAATGACGCGCATAGAAAGATTAACATATGCATCTAGGAATCCGGAATAATTATACTGTACTAATAATTTATGCATTCTTTACATCTGCAAGTCCTGACAATAGGTAAGAATAAAGAAAATCAGTTTGATTTCAAATGTCAACAAGGTCACATTACACATGATACAGTTGCTGTGAGTTATTTTAATCTGGAATTCAGATATCGATATGTGATATTAGGCTGTTCACAAACATCTTACTTAACGTAATTAATTGGCTAGTGATTGGGATGCACTAAAACATTATAACCAAATAATATGAAAATAATGACTGATACTTATCTCTTTTTATGAATACCGTTATGACTCCAGAAAAAAACTTTAGCACCCAAGGCTTTGTCACCTGGGATTTTGACTCAGACTTTGTCTCCAGCTATTCGTCATCTTAATTTTATAAGCAACAACAATCATATTTGGTTATACAATTATTAAAGTAATAGCTAGATTCAGCAACAAAAATGAACAATATCGAAACATGATGAATATTTATAAAAAATAAACATACGATATGTAAAAAAATAATAATTTAATAACCAGAAGATACATAATGGGAGAATATACTTGAGAAATCTTTTTGATTACTTTATTAATGACAAATTTCAACCATTCAGCGCATCTCTTGAAAAAAATTAACGATATATAAGGGAGGCGGGGTATTGTGGACAAGGGGGTATTGTGAACAGGGAGGGTATCTTACGATCTAGTGATCGAAATTGGATGGATTTTACATCATTCGAATCGTCTCTGAGAGAGAATCGAATGGCATAAAATATATCCAATTCTGATCACTAGATTATAATATATTATTATATATACAAAATAAAAAATTTTGTATATATTTGAATTTAATTAGTAAATCTGCAAATTTTTACATAATAAACCTTTAACGATCTTGGGATCCCATGATTAGACTTTAACGATTTTGTACTTGTTAGAATCGTCTCACTGAGACGGTTATTTTGGCAGTAAAATCATCCAAAACGGACCAGTAGATCAAAAATTATTCACTGAGTTTACAATACTTCCTTTTTTAAAAAAATTTAGCTTTTATATTCTGTTTGTATACTAATTATTTATAAAAACTACATATGATATAAAGATTTTTTTGCAGTAATTTATTCTTTATTAAGCATAGTTTAAAAAACAAAATTATATAAAAATCTATTTGCTAATTTAAAAGTTTTATTAATAGAAACTTTAACCTGTCTACAATACCCTTATCTCTCTTATATATATTTTTTGAGTGGAGTTTTTTTAGCAAATCAGTTTAGTTGATATATGTGTCAAAAATAACATATTTAGAAGGCTCTCAAATATCTTTCTCATATAATTGAAATTATAGGTGCAGAAATATAATTGTGTTGTAACTAATAGTAATGTAAATTGGACATAGCAACTCTTCAATATATAGCATATAAGTTACAAGTCCAATATATGTATCAGCATTTGATTATTAATTAAAGTGCAATCCTAACAAAATATACTATATATTCTGCCAATAGGTATACCAACAAATTTGGCTCAATTTTAAAAAATTTTAATAAATTAAAAAATTTATTTAAAGTAATTTGACAAATAAAAATTTCAATTCATTGATTCTATTCTTTTTATAAAATATTTTATTAATTAATAATAATTAAATCTACTTATTACATAAATGAAATTTGAGTAAGTTTAAAATTCGATTGCAATATAAGTTGTAGTGATGGGTGTTAGTTAATAATTAGTATAGTTAATAATTTCAGTAATCCAGACAAACCACCATAACAACCAAATCCCCGGCAAAATTAATCAGAATTCAGCCTAATATGAAAACTTAATTCTTTCTCTTTAACAACTGGAATTGTTTGAACAAACTTCATCTTTGCTTATTCCAATAAGATTTTTTTTTACGCCACCCAAAAAGACTGAATACGACAAATCACAGCATATTGCTCTTGATTTTCTTAACTCTAAATAAACAAAGAATTATTTGTTAAAAAAGCAAAAAAAAAAAAACTTCAACGAGATGTAACAAAAATAAAATCATTTATGTGTATTAAAAAACGCATCTTCGGGTTGGAGTGTGCGCAATAAATAAATAAATAAATAAATATAAAAATAAATAAATAAATAAATAAAATAAACCTACTACGAAATAATGAAAAACACACTCTCGGATGAAGGTGTGTTATAAAACGCGCCTTTCGGGCGAAGGCTACGCGAAAAAAAAAAATCCACATATTTCGGGTGAATATATGTTATAAAGTGCGCGTTTCGGGTAAAGGCTGCGCAAGAAAAAAAACATAGTTCGGGTGATTCTATGTATAAAACACGCGTCTCCGGGACAGAGTTTGCGTGAGAAAAACCACTACTTCGGGGAAGTGTGGTATAATAAAAAAAAAATAAAGAAAAACACTACTTCAGATTTAAGTGTATAAAACACTATTTTGAAGTGTGTATAACGAAAAAACTACACCGGGTGAAATGTGTGTTATGAAAAAAAAATAAAAAAAAAATAAAAATAAAAAAAGATAAAGAAAAGACACTACTTCTGTTTAAGTGTATAAAGCACTACACTGAAGTGTGTATATTTTGACGAAATACTATAAAAAAAAAACAGGGAAATGTGTAATAAGCGTAAGCACTACCCCATGTGAAGTTTGCGTTTAGGAAAAGTGTGTAATAATCATAAAATATTAAAGAGGCTTTTCTAAGTAATTACACTATTTCATGTACTTACCCATATTTTCTGTCGAAGAAAAAGAAGAAAAAAAAGGCATATATATAAAATTGAATTCTAACATATTTATATTATTTCCTCGCGGGTTACACCTGAAAAAAAGCCGATTTTACTATGATGTAAAATAAATTATCACTATTGGTGAATTGGCGATTAATCACCACCCTAAAAAATTTAGGGTTATATTTAAGGTCTGGAAAGAGTTTTGGTGTAGTTTTGGTGTGTAGAGCATTTTTATTTAGCACTAATTAATAACCAAAGTTATGAATCGAATCTTTAGTAGATGAATGATCAGTTATCATCTACGACACGACTGATAACTAGTACGTAGTCAATAGAAATGATATTTTGACAACTACTCAATTAAATTTTTTATTTAAATGTTATAAATTTATAAAATTCAAAAAAAATATTATTAAAATTGATTACTATACAGAAACTTGAATCTCTTAATGCGCAGTAACTGCATAGTAACTATGTATATAGTTACAATTAAATTTAATAGTATGTAGTCACTACGTATACAGTTATTGCGTATTAAGATATTTAAGTTTCTGTAAAGTAGGGGTAGAGTAGCGATCCGGATGATTATATCCGGATTTAACGCGGATTAGATTATCCGTTATCCTTTTATAACGTAACGATAATGTAAAAAATAATACGTATATTTATTATTCTCAATGCACAATAACAATTCTATTGCTAAGTTATAATTAACAAGTACATATAAGTTTACATTCCTTTTTAAAAATATCATTCTTTTAAAAAGTTCGGGAAATTCTTGTTCTCTTTGATGTCATTAAGTTACCCGCATCACTGAATAAACGTTCACTTGAGGTGGATGTTGCTGGAACAGCTATGCCAATTTAGATAGTATTGGAAATTTCTTCGAATGTAATAACTTCTTCAGAAGATTCATTAATTTCATTAGAGTCAGAAATGTTAGAGTCGAAAATGTTAGGATCAGGTATATTTCGTCTTTTGTTAGAAGTAGACATTTTTAACGAAAGTATTGATAATGTTAGCGGCAAAACCGCTGTACCGAATTCGTCGTCACGAGACCCGAAAACGTGATTCGATGCACCGAAGAACCCACCACGAAATCGCGAAGAAATCGATCTTGAGAAGCCACAAGCTACGAAGAAAAGAAGAATCAGAATTATGGCAGCATAAGCCGATTCGGGCTTGGGGCAGTGCCAAAAGCTTAGCCGGAGGAGGCAAAGCTATGGTTGCTGCAAAAATGGCGTGATTCTGCGCGATGGGCTTAGATTAGAAAAAAATTCTTTTTTCTTTTGTTCCCCGCATGTAAATTTTTTTATAAAAATGGGCTTGTTTCGCCCTCTAATAAAAGAATAATTAAGTGTGCTTGAATAAAAAAAAAGTCGTTCGTTTAACCCACAATATACCCGATTTAGCCTTACATTTCCAAATCAAATCGCCTCTAACCCTTGGATATATCGTGTAGTTGGTTGTGTGGTTTTGGTGGTGATTGGTCAGCCTGTGTTGCCGCCCAGTTGCCTCCAACAATAATAAGAAAAATAATAATAATAAATAATAATGATCTATTTAAACTTTTTTTTGCTTAAAATTATAATTGGGAACACCTATTTCCACCATTGGTCGTAACAATGTTCGTCATGTACAGTATAACTAAAAGTCATGTGAAAAACATGGTGTAAATAGTAAATTTCCATGGTGGACCCAATTATTTAAAGATAGTTTATTTAAAAAGTGTCACAATTGAATACAAAATATTACGCACAAATAATACGCTTAAGTCCTATTTATTATTAATGATAAATTTCAAATTTAACTATCGCTGTTAATAAATCCGAAATTAATGTTACCCGATGTAGTTGAGGTAACACCTTAACGCTGTAATGCACAGGTGTAAAATACCATAGGTGCGTTTTAGTACTAATCAGAAATTAAGAAAAAATGATCGGTATTAAAAACAACCAATCAAAATTCAAAATTCAAAATTGTTAACACAGAGGTAATTGTTGTCTAAAGTATCCTTCGAACAATTTACGGTTTTCAAAATATTATAATGTTTCAAATTGCGCGTTCTAACCATTTTTTTTTTTTTTAGCATTATTTATGATCGCCACTCTATTGAGTTTTATTGGTGAGAATACCGTTCTCATAACTTTTTATTCTAAACACTAGGGGTTAACAAAATTAAGAATTAATATTAATCGAATTATGTATACATGAAATAATTATTAAATCATACAAAGTCTTTTTTTTTTTTTACAAATAAAATAAAATTACAAAAAAAGAATTAAAAATGTATATATATGTATAGTCGATTATAAAAAAGACTACGTTTTTTCACACTCATTTCGAACTCAATTGAATAGCCAATTCCATATTCTTTGCCAAAATCTATATAGAAAAAAAAAATTATTTAAGGACTGCGAAAAAATAAATAAAAATAAAAATTATGAAAAGTGAGATTACTTACTTCTTGTAATTGAGTGTCTTTACTACTTGATTCAGTTTTGATCTAAAAATTGTTAAATTTTAGTTATTTAGTTATAATAGATGGTTCAAGAAAATAGGTCGAGTAGTATTCATTTCATTAATTAATTTCATTACCGTTTGTAGTTCAATCTCCATGGCTTTGATCTTCTTTTCAACTTCACGTTTTGCATTTGCCAGCTGATCCTTATCGTTAACCGCATTCATATATCCCATTTGTACTTGTTTAAGTGTTTCGTCTAACCGTGCACACTCTGCTTGTAATGATTTTAATGAATTCTCCAATTGGGTTTTTTCTTGTTCCAATATTATAACTTTCTTCGAATTTGAACCATCGTTGCCACCAGATTCAGCGGTCACCACATCCCTATGACGTTTTTCAATAGCTTCTATACGTATCTGCATTGCTTTGGTAATTTGAGCAACTTCTTCGTCTTTTTGTTTATTAAACATACCAATAACGTTTTGATGATTACGTATAAGTTGTTCTTTATCTTGGGCGTGTTCTTTCTGCATTTTTTCTTTATCTTGAGCGTGTTCTTTCTGTATTTTTACAATCTTACTTTGCAGATTCATGCAAGTTTTTTCTGCTTGTGCAATTAATTGTTCAAATGTTCGTATATTTGCATGTTGTTCATCATCAGCTTCTGATAATTTTTTATTGACTAAGAAAAGTTTTCGTTCAAGATCATCTTGTGAAAGTTTATATTTTTCAATTTGTTCTTTTAATGATTTAATAGTTTGTTCAGCCATGGCTAGCTGATTTACATCTTCGTTTGCTCTTTGTCTGTTCGTACCGGCCGAATGTGATTTTTCAATAAGTTGCTCTTTAAGTTTAGTAATATGAGCATGAAGTTCTTCAATTTCAAGATGTGACTTAGTCAAACGATTTTCAAGTCCACGGACCAAATTATCGAAATCTTTTCTTATTTGAGCGGAATCAGCATTAGCTGCTTGTAACTTTGCAGTTAAACGAGCAGTTGATGCTTCAAGGCTTTCAATACGTGTTTGTAACTTCTGTTTGGTTATTTCTAATTCGCATATTTGAGAATCTTTCATATTTGATTCAATTTCGATCTCATCTAATTTCATCGCGAGAGCTTCATAACTGGTACCATCTTCACCTCCTCCTTTGGAACTTCCTACATTGAACAATTGATCTAGTAACCTTGCATTTTCATCTTTTGATTTGCTCAGTAGAGCTTCGATACGCTTCTTTTCATCTTCTAATATAGCAACCTTATTGTCCGTTAAAGTTTTTTCTTTATTAAACTCTAGTAATTTTTGATTTAAAGTTTCTAATGCTTGACGTAAATCCTTTATTTCAGAATCTTTTTGAAGAAAGTCAGCTTCTTTTCGTTTCCAAACTTCACGCTCGCTTGTCAAAGAACTCTTTTCATTTTGTATAGTCTTGAGTTTTTCGCTAACCTCTTTCGTCTCACGTTTCAACCGAGTAAGTTCACTTTGTGCTTCAGATTCACGATTTTTAATCACTTCTTTCTCTTGATTTAAACTTTTCTTTAATTGATCAAGTTCAATTTCAATTTGTTCTTTCTCCGATTTAATTTTTTCATTCTCAGATTCAACTTGCTCTTTTTCCGATTTAAGATTTTGATATTGTTTTTCCCATTCAACCTTCATAATATTAACAACACTAGCTAATTTATCCCGTTCACATTTTATTTCTTCTAATTCACCTTTTAATGATAATCCTTCTTCGTGTGATTGTTGTTTCTCTTCCTTTACAGTATTTAATTCCGTTATTAATCGGTCTTTTTCCTGAGATATATTACTTACTTCAGCAGAAAGGGCACTTTTATCTTTTTCTAAATGAAGATTCTTGTTTTCTAGTTTATCAATTTTTTTTCTAATATTGATAAGATCAGTTGACATTTCAAGATTTTCTTGAGTAAATTGTATATGTTTATTATTCAATTCATCATAACGACGAGTAGCATCTTCTATCGCTCGAATACATAAAGCATTTTCAGAGCGAAGAGATTCATTTTTATTTATTAATTCTGTAATCTTTTCTTCATGTACTTTTTTCAAAGATTCAAGTTTTTGATCATGATCTGCTTGAAGGCTTTCAAGAGCGGTCTTGTGAGTAGATTCTAGGTTATTACGTAAGTCAGTTAATGTTTTATCATTATTTAATTGGCGTTGTTCAGTTTCATTCTTAAGAGAATTTTCAAATTCTATACGTAATGATTCTATTTCTTTGTTATGTTTTGAATGGTTTTCCTCTTTTTCTTTCGTGACGATTTCAAGTTGAAGTTCCAATTTTTTAAATTTATCATTTGAATCACTTAATTGAGAACGAATATTTTCTAGTTCAGACTCTAAATTCTTCTTTTCATTTAGTTGATTTGAAAGTTTGAGACGTATATTAGATAATTCATTATTTGTTTCATCGAGTTGTTTACGAAGTTCTTGAGATGTCCCCTCGAATTTTGACATATCACTTAATTGACGTTCAAGATTTGAGATGGTCTTCTTAGCGTCTTCCTTACTTTCATTCAATTCTTTGAGAGTACGATCGTGCTTAATTTGAAGATCATTTAATTTAGATTGAGTGTCTTTTTCAGATTGATTTATATGGATTAATTTATTTTCCAAATCTCTTTTTTCAGCTTCATGTTTACTTAATAATTGATTTTCCAAATCTCTTTTTTCAGCTTCATGTTTACTTAATAATTGATTTATTTTTGATTCATTATCTTGTTGTGATTTCGATAAATTATTATACTTTGCAGAATGTTCAGACATTAAAGAAACTTTTTCTTTTTCATGTTGTTGAAGAATTAAACGTTTTTCATTTTCAAAAGCTTCTTTCATCGTATTAAGATCATTTTCAACTTGTTTTTTCTGTTGTGAAAGAGTAGTTAATTCAACTATTAATTTTTCCTTTTCTTCATTATGAGATTTTTTTAATAAATCTTTTTCATTTTCATATTTTAATGATAAAGAATTTATTTCGGAAGAAATTTTTTCTTTTTCAGCTTCATGAGATTTTTTTAATAAATCTTTTTCATTTTCAAAATTTAATGATAAAGAATTAATTTCAGCAGAAATTTTTTCTTTTTCAATTTCAAGAGATTTTTTAAATGAATTTTTTTCATTTTCATATTTTAATGATAAAGAATTTATTTCGGAAGAAAATTTTTCTTTTTCAATTTCAAGAGATTTTTTTAATAAATCTTTTTCATTTTCATGTTTTAATAATAATTCTTGACGTATACGTTCATTTTCTTTTTGTTGTTCAGCAAGTTCATTTTTAGATTTTTGTAATTCACTCCAATGTTTATTTTTTGTCTCTTCTAATTCTTGCCTAACTTTTTCAAGTTCTTCAGAATGTTTTTTCTCAAGTTGAGCTTTTAAAGATTCATCCAACAAAGTACTATTACTTCTAGAGATATCATAAGAAGGAGTACGAGAAGTATAATTTGAAGATAAACCATTACTAAGATGACCATTTATCGAAGGTAGTTGATCAGATTTTGATAAATCAGAATGACGAGAAATTGAAGTAGAAGTAGAAAAATTATCTAAAGAACCATTAGAACCATTTAATGGAGAACTAAGATCAGAATAATAATCAAGAGTTTCATCAAGATTCGTCTTTTCTTTTTGAGAATTAGAATCCATATAATCATCGAGGTCAACATTATCAGTCATTTCTTTGTCTACCGTTTCTAATTCATTTTCTAAGGCAGCAATACGAGAAGCCAAATTGGCCATCGCAGCAGCAGCGGTATTAGAAACCGACATCCCTGATGTGGTTTCTGACCTCATGAGAAAAGTGAAATGTGTGGTGGGTATGAAATGATTTGGGTAAGAGATAGATAATTTAATGATAATGAAAAGAAACTATTCGGTTGCCAATGTTGTAAAGACTTGTTTTTTTTTAAGCATCGATATAATGATAAATATTTCAATTATTAAAAAAAATAGAGAATGAGTTAATTATAAATCGAGCATTCATTGTTTAAGTACGTATTTATTTTTTTTGCATACTTACGTTTTATTGGCTGTTTTTGGTAGACTATTTTTAGGCGTAAACCTCGATAATAGCAGGTAATAAAAAAAAAAAAAAAAAAAAGAGTGATATGGTCTTTCTTTAAAGACGTTTGTTAGAATGAAGGTAAGCTTTTAAATTTAAGACATGGAAAAATTGTGGGTAATGTATAAATTATATTTGGTAACACGCAATTAAAACAATTGGACATGTACGTACCAATACTATAATATAATAGTTGTATCGGTAATACCGATACATTTATCTTTATTTTTTTATTTGGTTGATCAAACGTAATGCATATATGTATATACACAGTACGGGTTAAGTACGGATACAGTGTTTTGAATATATAAATGATATAAATGATGTGAAATTCCGGAGAATCGTAAACGTCGGTTTTTGTACATTAATAGTACATATCATCATTTTGCATAGAAACCGAAGCTCCGTAACAAATATTTATGGATTTTTTTTAGAAAATCTTAACTATATTTACTTAATTCATATCAATGACATTATCAATTTATCTAATTTGTCATCGAAACCATAATGTGATAATTTTGTTACAGAATATGGTCTGTAATAAATTTATGACAAGACTTTGACACCCAAAATATAATGCAAAGTTTTTTTTCTAGTTTTGGGATTTGGTGGGCTGTTTTGGATTGTTGTATGCAAAATCAAAAGCAAAGGCAAAAAAAGAAAAATTGGCCCAAATTGTTCAGAATATATATAATAACCGAAAAAAGTTAAGGTTTATTAAAAACTATTAGAACTAGAGATCTGCTGATCACAAATACCAAGCTTTTTAGCGGTGGTATCAGATTTTTTGTCAGCAATATTAAAAGATATACTTTATGAAGAAAAGTACAAAACTCTAAAAAGATTCACATGAATATTGCACATATTTAATTTCTTTTGATTGAAACTCTTTGTAAGAACCGTTTCAAGAAGTTATGCTCAACTTTTTGTGAAAATTCGGATCAGTTTTTAATTGTTTTCGAAATGGTTGAAATAGCGAATACCTGAATACCCGAGCACCTAGAAAATGTGTACCAGGTTGATCGTCCGGAAAGTTAAGTTAGATCGGAACAGTATGAACATTCGGAACTAGAAACAAATTTACGTATTTACATACCGATACGTACGTCATCTAGCTAATAAAATCACTATTGTCATTATTTAAATTATAATACTCAATAATGTTTTTCGTTTTTTTTTTTTTTTTTTTCTTGCAAAAAATAAAAGCGATGCAAAATTTGTTATAAGCATGTATTTTATATTGTAAGCTTTATTTCGTTAATTACATGCAAGAAACCATCAAATTAGGACTTAGCAGAACAAAATAATAGAATATATCAAATCTACCTATGCCACTTCGCCAAAGATTTTCGTCAGTTATGAGTCACAAGTTGAAGCTATAATAGCCAGATGTGAAAATAAGCAATGTTCGATCGTCTAAAAATGATATTAAAATTAGGTTGGCATTTTAAATTTTAATTAATAACAATTCATAATTTATTTAAAAACTATGTAGTAACGAAGATTTAATATCTATTGAAAAGTTTTCAACTTATCATTAATAACGTTAACAATAATAGCCAACTTCTTTCCGACATTGAATATTTCAAAATCCGAATCTCTATCGATAGACAAGTTAGCGTCTTATCTATTTCTCCAAATTTCATACAGTCAACAAATATTCAGAAAGAAAGTATCGATCAATTTGAAATGAAGGGCATAAAGAATGATCAATTGCAAAAAGAGTACATAAATTATCGAAGAACGTCACAGAAAAACAAACCAAATGGCTAAAAAGAAATATATTGAATATTGCTTTATATTATCACTATAATTGAAAAATAAAGTCTTAGTAAAAAAAAAAAAGCTGTAAAAATTCGAAGACATTTTCCGGACCATCATCCGAACCCAACCTGGTACACATTTTTTGGGTGCAACGTACGGATATTAGGGTTGGGGGCACGGAAAATCATCACATGGGGCACGGCATAACACCCTAAATTATCACATGACACTGATTGGTAAAACATCACATGTAATTAGTAATTTACGTGCGATGAATAACATCACATCCCGTGCCCGTATGACAATTTGAAATCACACCCTCGTGCCCCCAACCCTAACGGATATGATGACGTATAATCCGTATTATCCGTATTTGTATATTCCGCATTATACGGATTTTGATTTTATGCATCCGGTTTATCCGGATTTAAATAGTTCACACCACTAGACTGACAGTATTGATACGATAGTAAATGGGATATCCGATTTCAAAAAACTAACTTTTGTAATTTATCTTTTTATTTTTTTTGCGGCTGAATATCCGAAAAGTCTATATTTTTAAATTAATTATTATTATTATTTATATTTGAAATTTTCGATGACATTTAATAAATGATATAGAATTGATAAATCCTAATTATGTATTTATTTAGGTCTTTAATTTGATCTCTCGTAACTATTGAGCGTCGCCACAGTTATTAGTAAATTATAGTGTGATAGTTGACCAAATTTTCTATAATGCAGTACAGTAATAATTAATGAGAAAACCGCGTTCAAAGAGATGTTTGAGAATGCTCTAAATATCTTATATATAATATTAGAATTTATTCTTTTACAGTATTATCGTTAATAGCTACAGTAAAATTTTTTTAGCTTTGTCATATCTTGTCAGTTACTTCGTTACTATTTATCATCAATTTTTTCAGTTTTGAAAATTTTTTAAATATCTAAATACATTTAGTGCATGAAAAATTGTTTCAAAGTGTTTATATTTTCGCACTTAAACTAATTACCGTAAACACTTAAGGAGGTTAATGTAATGTTTTTACTAAGTGCCTCCGCTAAGGCTTTTCCAACTTCTAAATATGATAATTGTGAGAAATATCTAAGGGAGTTAAGGTAGTATTTATAAAGAGCTTCTGCGAATGCTTTCCCTCCTTCAAAACTAAGGCTATTATGAGAAACATGAGGGTATTAATTATGCAAAGAGCTTCTGCGAATGCTTTTCCACCTTCAATACCGATCTAATATCTAAAGAAGTTAATGTGGAGTTTTTACAAAGTGCATCTGCCAACGCTTTTGCACCCTCAGAACCAAGGTTATTAGTACAAATCTTTAAGAATCTCAGAGTAGTATTTATGCAAAGTGCTTCTGCCAATACTTTCACTTCCTCAAAACCAAGTTGATTACTTGATATATTCAGAGAAATCAAAGTGATATTTTTACGAAAAACTTCTGTAAATGCTTTTATTCCTAAAAGCCCAACCCTATTACCACTAATCTCTAAAGAATTCAATGCAATGTTTTTGCAAACAGCGTCTCCTAATACACTTGCTCCCTTAGAATCAATTTTACCATCAAAAATAGTTAAATTTAGAGTAGTGTTTTTACAAAGTGCATAAGCTAATGCTTCCATATCCATGGGTTCAAGTGGATTACCATAAATACCTAACTAATTTATAGCAATTTTCTTATTAATAACTTCTATTAATGCTTTTGTTCCTTCAGAATCAAACTTATTTAAGCAAAATCTTAAAATGGTAATAGAAGCGTTTTTATAAAGATTTTCAAATACCATTTTATTAATAATACCATTAAGTTGTAAATTATTAAGTTTTTACTTGTCCGTAGAAACAGTGCAAGTAATGAACATTTAATAGCAACAAAAATTGAATGACAATATCTTTCATAGTTAATCCAATTACTGACTCCATCATAAAAAGAGCGGTTAACATCTGTGATATAACTAGTATACTCGAATAATGGCCTTGGATAGTTTGGAAGAATAATTTCGAATGGTTTTAATTGTGCTTGTACTTCTTCATTTCTATCCGTAATTCTACAACATTGACGGTTTACAAGAAGACATGAAAATAAGTTTTTATAATCAAACTGAAAATTATTAAATATTTCAAAAAGGCATTCATTTGGTAAAATTTTCATCTTAAATTTTGTTTAAGAATTTGTATAATGATAACAATAAATTTTGCGATTTATAATCGTTGTAACCTGCTTTTATTACCATATCTGAAATTTTATAAATATATCGTTAGCATCAGTTAATTTCTATGACTTATATTTCTTTAGTATAATTGCGTATCAATAGGAATACGTACGGATTAAATTTCAAAGAAACTTTTTGATATTTAAAATATGGTAAAGAGTAGCGATGCAATAGAGATACGATAAATTACGGTTACGGTAAAAATAATTGCTACATGACTTTAATCAATGTCGTAATGGCTACATCATAAAGGATTATTATAGACGTCCGTAATCTGTGACAGGCTATGCCACTGATTTCAATCACTATGTGTAATGAAGTTGAATATATAAAAAAATTATTTGATCGTATTTGTAAATATATATATTTTTCGATTTTATAAATTAAATTTTTTATATAAAATAAGAAAAGTATGCACATTAAAAGTTTAAAACTACCCTATCGAATTCTAATAAGGCTTAAAAGAGAAAATATTTTTTAATAAAGTTTATAATAAAATTTTTTTTTAATATGAAAAATCCTTCAAATGCCTCGCAGGTTATACAAATTTGGATATATTTTTAAGAAAACTTATAAATCGGAATTAAGAAATGGAAGAGATCGATATTTCCGACATCACTTCATTTTTTAGTTATTAATTTAAACTGTTAAAATTTTAGGCCAATATTACAAATCGTGTTAGATGAACTCAAAGGTCAGTATAATGTAACAAAAATAAAA